TGATGATGCATGGTGATATATCTGTTGTACTGTAGGTCTTGTCATGGATATGGACCACTCCATACCATACCATAACCATAGCTGATGATACATGGTGATATATCTGTTGTACTTTAGGTCTTATACTTTTCCCTCTTTGTAACCTATTATCAATAATTTGTACACGTTAGATGATATCGACCAGTATAAGTAGAGGTAATGTAACCATCATTTAGAAATAGCAATAATACTAGAGTTGACCTTTTACATATTTTATGTTTAGTAACACCACAGGGTAAGGCCCATCAAAAGCCACAATAGACCATTTTACCAATACGTCGGCCATCTTGAATTCTATTGTATTAATTAAGATATTATGGGATTCCATGGAATTAATCACAACAAGTCCATCCATAGCGCAATGTTTTCTGTATAAACTATCCTTAATGCTTTGACTTTAATCCCTAAACATAAGAAACAGACTGAAGTACTTACGATTAATATATTCTTTTCGTTCTTGTTCGTCGAAGTACCATAGTGTTATGGCATATCTTTAGGAAATGATATAGTGTAAGTATGAGTAGGTGCATGGGAGGGTGGTTTAGGGTAGGGTAGATGATGAGAGTAAGATTTATCCTCTGAATTGGACTGCGTTGGGAATATCCTACAAGGGGTCTATAGTGTAGGTACAAGTAGGTGCATGGTTGGGTGGTTAGGGTAGGGTAGGTGATATAGTGTAGGTATAAGTAAGTGGATGGGTGGGTGGTTGGTGGGTGGAAAGATAAGCAAGTCACAAACTAAATAACGTTAATCCTTGTTGTCAAAGCTTGTATTGTACAAGATACRAAACAGTTGTATAGACCAACCTGACTTTAAAAGCAGGAGTCACTTCATGTGGTGTTCGTCTGTCCGACCAAAATAACAAAAGACGGTCAAAATAGGGTTCTACGTTGACTGTTTTGCGATCTGTTCCACTTGGAAACAACTTAAGGATTCCTCCATCAGTCTGGAATGGATAATTCAATTGTTATGTTATTTATAATTTTTTTTATTCAAAGACAACTCGTGGCACCATCGAGCACCATCAGCTACACCACATCAACCTGTACCTACAGTATATCACACTGCACCCACAACATACCAACCTAAAACACACTACCTACACCTTCATCACACCACAATGCACCTACACCACACCAACATTCATCTCGCCACACCAACCACACCAACCTGCACCTCCACCACACCAACCACACCAACCTGCACCTCCACCACACCGACCTAAACCATCATTACACCAACCTACACCACCCCACCCTGCACCCTGTATCGTCACATTACCACCACTCAAATATACCACACCACACCAACCTGCACTTCCATCACATCAATCTGAACCTACGACACACCAATCCACACTACATTAACCTGCATCTACACTACACCACCCTGCACCTACGCCACACCAATCTTCACCTACACCACACCAACCAACACAATCATTACAACAACCTACTCCACGCCACATCAACCAGCACCTTCACCACACCAGCCTACAACATACACCCCTTGCACCTACACCACACAACCTTGCACCTTCTTCACACCAACCTACACCATACCACCTTGCACCTACACCACACCAACTTGTACCTACACCTCACCACCTCGCACCTTGCATCTTCTACAACCTACAACATCCTGCGCCTACACCACACCAACCTACCCATAACGCAACGACCTACACTATAACGCATCAACTTACACCAAAACCTATTTCAACCAACCTAAACCTACACCTCACCATCACCTGCATTCCACCACACAAACCTGCACCAGCAATATATCACCCTGCACCCACACCATACCACATTACACCTACACCACACCACATTACGCCCATAACGCAACAACCTACACTATAACGCGTCAACTTACACCTAAACCTATTTCAACCAACCTAAACCCACACCTCATTATCACCTGCAACCCACCACACAAACCTACATCAGCAATAAACCACCCTGCACCCACACCATACCAACCTACAGCAACATGTAATACGATCTCTAGAGTTACCTTAATGTTCCAGTCAGGATTAAGATAATAGAGTGTTGTTACACAGCGACCATCTTTACTTGGATTATCGATGTGCTGCTTGTACCCAGTCCCTCCTCCTGGGTAGCATGCCACCATTGCCTAAAATCAACGAGTTTGTTAATTATATTAGTTAGAATATCCATTTAAAAAAACCTGTATCAGCAATTTAATACTACAATAGGTGTAAGTGTTTACACGACTCCATATACCTGCCGTCGTTTCAACCGTGTTCACTTCATAATTAGAAATGCAAGGCTAAGCATTTGCGACTGAAAACTCGATATATAGCCAGCGATAAAATTGAGGTTGCATGACACTATTATAGCAGCAAATCAGCTTCCGGGACTATTTAGTTACACTTACAGAATTATTAGTTCAGTTATTGTATTTGTAAGGGTTTTAAGTGCAGTAATAATACCTCAAGTGAGAGCCGTATAGGGTAAGTGGAGCATGAGAGATTTCTTAAGTATACAATAAATATGGGTTTTCACTGTAGCATTATCCAATCAGATAACAGACCTAACATTTAGTTTCTTACTTATTTTCTCAAGTTTTGGCAGCTTCCATGCACAACTCACAGCGCGTTTTGGGGTTTCAAGTACATGTCTCGTGTTAGAGCCCCAGACTATAAAAGGTGCATTAAAAGGTTTTTGAAGTATGTAATCAACGTGGGTTTTCACCGGTTTGTTAGCCAATCAGACAAGAGACAGCCTTTTTTCCCTTAGAGGGAACTAATTGGCCTCTTTCCGAGGCATTTGGCTTCCATTAACAAAAAAATGACCGGCTAGTTTGTCCTACTCAGAAAAGACATAATAAGAAAAGTAAATACAAAATGGTATAAATCTGTATATGCCACTCTCGACGTAGCCTATTACGCAGACGTTGTTAGTGTCTGTCACACAACGTTTTCCTCACCACAAACGTTTCCCAATCCCTCGTGGGAAGGAAAACGTTGAGTGACAGACACTAAGAACGTCTGCGTAGGAGGCTACCTTTGACGTGTTTGGAAGAAAATGATGAAAAACGGTACTGCGCAAGTTCGGAAAATCACTATCAAACATTGAATACTAGTTAACAGTGATGTAATGAATAACTGATTTACAGTTTTGAAATTTTTGCTTTAAGAGTGCCATATAAAGTTTATCAACAAGAATGAACTGTTGGTCATAATTTTCCCGGCCATGCGCAGTTTGTTTTTTTCATCACTGTTGATAGGTAATGATGGGATACCTGTGTTCTGGAAGAAACCTCACACTCCTTTATGAACTTATTGCAAAACTTCAGTAACAGATCCATACGACTCATGTGTTTCTTTATAGCCTTCTTTCCTTTACCATCAGTCCATGCTACAAGGTCTTCTCGTACGTTCTTCTTAGCACTGCCTTTGTTTCCCTTTGACGACGATAAAAGGCCTTCAGAAAACGCATTTTCTTGATGAAACTCTTTAACTTCTTCCAGTATGTTCGCTGCAATTGGTTCTCCGTGCAAGAAGTCCACAATACAGTAGTTGTTTTTACAAAGACTCTGGACTATGTATTGAGCTACTTCTCTCAAGTCGTACCTACTGAAAATCCCCTCTTCCTTCAATGGAGGGCCAGCATCAGAAGATTCGTTTAACAGCCCAAAGTGCTCACAAAATCGTGCTGGCATCTCATCATTTTTGCCGACCTCGTTGTTTTCAGGAGACAAAGGAGATTGTTGAGACTGTTGCTCGCTTGGAATAGTATTCGAAGTGGTAGGTGACAGAGTTTGACTGTGCTTCATCGAGCCCTGATCGCCTTGAATGGGCAACATTTGACTAGAAATGCTGCTATTAGAGTCCATCAACAGAAGCTGCTGGTATTGTTCAGCTGATGGTGTTTCACCTGTGGAGATCAGAGGTACTGGGCTGGTAGTAACATTGCTGCTTGGTAATGGCGATAGCTGCTGTGTCTGTACTTGTTGTTGTTGCTGTTGCTGTTGTTGTGGACTAGGGTACTGTCTAGCCTCTTGTTCATCCAGGAAAGAGAGAGCATCTTCTAAGGTAATCTGATCATCATCATTTGAGTAACTCGGCATTTGAACAGTTCCCATTTGCGTGTTTGCACATGTGTTTGGTACATTTAAATAACTAGCTAAACCTGGTTGAGTTTGTCGTGTCTGAGTAGCTTGTATCGAAGGCAGCTTTTCTGTAGTTGTCAAGAAAAACTGGTTATTAGGGTTTTGATAAGGTGAAGGATTTTGCATATACGACAATCCTTCTCCACTACAGCCAGGACTAGTACTTGAGGTAGGATTAGACTGACCATACTGCATTTGAGGTGGCTGCAATGTCACTCTATGTGGGCTTACAGAGTCCTGATTGGTCCGAACTGGAGAGAGTTGGTTGGTGTTAGAACGATTACCAGAAAATTCTGCACTGGGGGTTTGTTGGTAGGTTTGAAACGTTGTAGGAATATAATTATCATTGTCTGTCCGTAATGCTGAATGTAGTGTGCTTGACTGACAATAAGGATCGCCAATGAATGAGTTGGTTGTGTTTGGGAATGGAGAATTGTGGTTAAAGTTCATACATCTCATCTTATGAAAACGAAAGTCCGCTTTCTTGTGTTCCTTGGAGCAGTACCTAGCATTGCATTGCGGACAGCCGAACCGCCTCGCTATGTTATCTGGCACTTCAGTGTTGCAAAACTCGCAGCACTTTTTGTTCGCCTGCGGTTCGTTCTCATCCAAGTAGTTGTTAATCCACATGGCTCCGTTCAGTGACTGCAAAAAAATAAATAAATAAATTAATTAATTAAAAATTAAAAATTAAAAAGATCAATTTAGAATGTTAATTCATTCTCTTATTTTTTTACCAACTAACAAAGGGTCTAACGCACTAATGCTGATAGTAACGGGGATTCAACAGAGATAACTACATACCAAGACCTATTTAAGTAATGGTGCTGTTCAGGGCTCGGTTGTTGACGAAGGGTGGATAGCGCTATCCAACGGATAAATCTTATCCATGCAGTCGATAAACTATTATTAAACAACAGCATCAACGTTTCGATCTACGGGATAAGGATTTACAGCGCTGTCCACTCTTCAAGCGACCAGTTCTAGATAAATAGTTACTGGGCCACCAATGAGCAACCGTTACCCCAAGGTACATCAATCGAGTACTTGAGAAAGCCTAAGAAATAACAAATAGTAGAACGCTTTGAACGCAGTTATTTTTAAAATCTTTTTTCTCCATGTTTTGCTAGATTTATCTGGATCCATAGACAGAATCTTGTGCATTGTTAGTTTAGCCGGCAGAAATTCGGAACATTGGCCAACATCTGCGGGGCTTCCTCAGGATAATAAGGTTAGGGAAATATTATACTTTATCTAGCGTTAGAGAGATTTGTATTGATATAACGGATTGTATCTTCGGGCAAGAGTGTCCCTTTCTCGCACGTACCTTCTCGATCAAAATCTAAAGCCTAACAAAACATTTTAGTGATACATAATTGTTACTCTTAAACAAAGGCTAATCTAGCTATAACCTCTGCTTTTTCTGCTAACCAACATTTCTAATGACGAAGGCTCAGATATCCGGTTCAAAGACTGATCTATTCACATGGCAGGTTCTTGTTGAAGAGCTAGATAAACTATAGATTATGTCCAAGCATGTCTAGTCCACCTCTTTATTCCTGATGTTCGTGTTAAAAATCACTTCGAGAAGAGAAAAAAACGAGAAAATTATTTCACGAGATAAATTTTTGAAAGAAAATGGAAAAGGGGCACTACAAGTTAAAATGCATGCTACTCGAAATGTTTATGTCTTCAAGAGCGGCTAGTTTTGAAAGTGGAACTTGATCGATGTGTCATGAAAGGTCTTTAAGGTATGTACATCAACACCGTCGGACTGACTAATCTTCGCGGCTGGATGGCCAAAACAGAAGAGTAGTTTTAACAAATGAAATGACTAAGCTATTTAAAATAAATAGCAATCTATTGTTACGAAAATTAATAGATAGTTGTTTGGGTATAATGAAACTATATCTAATGAACAGAGATTGGAAAATCTCAAATTTTACCCTATGTCGCTTTGAAGTCTAAAATCTGCGGCTGAAAATTTGAGCCTATACTTTTTAAAATCTTCTATTTCCGATAGTGTTTGTCCGTTGACGTTAGTGCTGCCTGAAGCCGGTATCGATTTTTCTCGATAAAAACCTACATACGTCACTCGTTGGGCTTCTGAAGAACAGTTTGAGTTTCACCAAAGCAAAACAATCGCATAGGCAATATTCCTCCAAACAAACTTCAGGAAATGAAAAATTCTACAGAAAAGGAAAGCACAAAAATAAATACCCCATACCCTTAGAAATGAGAAAGCATGATGTTTGAATGCGCCCATCATCCACGCTTGTCCATCCATCTTATCGAGGTCCCTTCCTGGAAGACGGTCGGCTGTGGTACGTCTTCAAACACTTGTACAGCGTTTAAAAAAGGCAAAAAAACCCGAGAGCAAGAATATCATAGCACAGGTCACGCGTGTGGTTAGTCATGCTTCCCGAGCCCTCATAGGGCGATTTTTCATTGTTTTTTGTAGCTTTCCAGTACTGATATATAAGTCAAGTATGGATTTGGAACCTTGCCCGGTCTGAATCACATCTGGAAACTATAGACAGTGTATAGAAGTTAGGCTGCTCTCACTGACGACCAAGGCAATGTGACTTCGATATCGAGTCCGAAATACACAGGCAATAATAACGAGGTTGCCATCTGTAAGATGGCGACATAACGAGGAAAGGAGATTTATACGTCACTGAAGGGTTTCCATGCCGACAACTATGACGTCATGCAAGCGTCTGGCTAATAGAGACCAATAAATGGTTTGTTCCTAAACAGAATGGTCTTCACGGTCCATGTTTACCTTTTAAGAGAAAAAAACAATGCAAAAGAAAACAGCTTCGGTCGCTAAGGGATCATTCATAATTCTATATTCATATTGATATCTCGCAAAGATAATAAAACTCAGAATCACCATAGCCGCTCCCAACCCCCCTCCCCCTCACCCATAAGTTATGAACAGACCTTATGCAAATGTTGGAAATTGGATGATATCGTTGTTCCATTACTTCCGAAATTCCGATATTTTGTTATTTCTATTAACACCAGGAATTGCAGATCTGTTTCATATAGGAGCCTAGTCAGATTAACGCCCCAGGCACTTATATTTGTGCAATTTAAAAGGTAGAGAAAGCTAGTCACACATTCTCTGGTTTATTGCTAGCTTGTGATTGGTCTATACTGCAAATGACAATGGCTTTGATCAATGACATCAGAAAAGCCAGCCAATTTGACAAAATACGATAGTTTATACCCTAAAAATGAAGGTCCGAAGTGGCTGTCTGGCAGATACACGGCTATGCTTATGTCAAGCGACCAATAAGACATAAACATTTTGCCGTTCAAGCACAGGTAGCCCAAGCTTGGTTTCTGTGGTGTCCTGTTATAAGGAAATGTATGGGGAATCATCAAAAATTTCAATAAAATCATCAAAACGTGAAATAAAGCCTCGAAATTTTACCC